AGAGACTGATGGTGGAGGATCGGGGTGAGAGACTGATGGTGGAGGATCAAGGTGTATAAGAGACTCATGGTGGAGACCGGGGTAAGAGAGACTGATGGTGGAGGATGAAGGTGAGAAACTGATGGTGGAGGATCGGGTGTCTGAGAGAGAATGATGGTGGAGGATTGGGGTGAGAGACTGATGGTGGAGGATCGGGTGTATGAGAGAGACTAATGGTGGAGAACAGGGTGAGAGAGACTGATGGTGGAGGATTGGGGTGAGAGACTGATGGTGGAGTATCGGGGAGTGTGAAGGACTGATGGTGGAGAGCAGGGTGAGAGAGACTGATGGTGGAGGATTGGGTGTGTGAGAGAGACTGATGGTGGAAGATCAGGGTGAGAGACTGAAGGTGGAGTATCGGGGAGTGTGAGAGACTCATGGTGGAGAGCAGGGTGAGAGAGACTGATGGTGGAGTATCGGGGAGTATGAGAGACACTGATGGTGGAGGATCGGGGTGTCTGAGAGCAACGGTGGTCGGTTATCAGGGTGTCTGAGAGACGCAGGGATGTGGCATCATTGGGGTGCCTGTAGTAGGGACATGGGGGGGGCAGGCAGCATCTACAACTGCTCCTTGGCCTCTGGAATGTCTGTGACCCAGACAGAAGTGTTACCAACAGCACCCTGAGCTCACGCTGACCCCCAGAGTCCCTGCCCGTCGAATAGCCAGGTGTGTCAGGAAGGTCAAGCATGTGTTACTACAAGGACCAGTGCTCGAAGGACCAGTGATTTTGTACGTGGACCTCCCACCCTCTTCCGTCTCCCCTCTGTGACGTTCCCTCTGGAGACTCAGCCTGGCGGTCTGTCCCCTAACAGCTGCTCCTGCCACCTTCCCTCAGAAGCCCCAAGCACCTGGGTGCCCTGGGTCACAGCAGCCCCACTGTCTTGTTTTGGCCTCAGACCAGGCTCATAGGACGAACTTGGAGAAACGCCCCAACAAAGTGACGTAAAATGGACCCGAAATGGACATGGAGTTAACTTTTCAGCTTCCCGGAGACCCAGGGAGGGTCACTCCAGCCGTCGCCAGCAAATGGCACAAATTATCTGGATCACAAAGACTAGGTGTGTTGTGGGCTCAACCGTGTCCCCTCTGAATTCTTAAGTTGAAGTCCTCACCCCGATACCCCAGAACGGGACTGTATTTGGAGGTGGGGTCTTGAAGTAGATAATGGAGGTAAAATCAGATCATTAGGATGAGCCCTGATCCAATAGGCCTGGAGAAGGGTGGATGAAGACACAGACACGCACAGAGGGACGACCACGTGAGGACACAGCGGGAAGACGGGTCTACACGCCCAGGAGACAGGCCTCGGCCCTGCCTGGACCTCAAACTCCCAGCCTCGTCCCCGCCTGGACCTCGCACTCCCAGGTTGTGTATGTGGCACAGTGGTGCGCGGGGCACACTGTGGGCGGGGGGTGGGCAGTGGTCTTTCTCCTTGGGCGCATCACAGAGAGCACTCCAGCAGCGCCCCCACCCCCAGCACCGGAATTATCTCACCATCATGCACAGCAGAACCAAGCACGCAGGGGAGTCTACAATCATACTCCTGCCCCCCACCTGCGCCAAAGGGGCCCTTCCTACCCCTCAGGGACACAGCGTGTCCCCAAGGATGCTGTTGATGAATGGTACTCCTGCCCCCCACCTGCACCAAAGGGGCCCTTCCTACCCCTCGGGGACACAGCATGTCCCCAAAGATGTTGTTGATACAGGCCACTAGGTACTCATGCAGGTTGTCCGTCAGGCCATCGAAGTCCCTGCAGGCCAGGATGACCACCTCCTGGGGGTGGCTCTCCAGCCACTCTGAGATCTCCGTGAGGGTGTCCTGCACAAGAGAGAAAGGGGCTCAGTCGGACCGTCCCGAGGGGGGCCAGGAAGCTGAGGACACTCCCACAGGCCCAAGGGCCTTCTGTAAACAGAACCCACTGGGCAAACAGGCCTGGGTCCTGGGCCAACAAATAGCCAATGCAGCCTCACCAACGACTGCCGGGCTGCCAGCCATTATCCTCGGGGAGAAGCATATGCTTGTGTGTGTGTGTGTGTGTGTGTGTGTGTGGCCATGTGTGTGCACCCTCACTGCACAGGGCACCGTGTGTGCAAAGGTGTAAAGTCTGCAAGTGCAGGGAACACGCAAAGCCCGGCAAGTGGCATGTGGAGTGAGGTCCCGGAATGGTGTCACCCGGCCCCAGGCGTCCTGGACGGCAGGGGGGAGTCAGGCTGAGCGAGACGGTGACTCCTCATATTCGGACTTCAGAGCCACTCAGGTTGTGGCGGAGGAGACAGTGCAAGACGCCCCAGGCCCCAACCAAAGGCAGGAAGACAAGCGGCCCCAGGTTTGCAAAACCCAGGAGGCCAAGAGTCGTAACCTCTGGACGGCTGGACCCCACAAGGGTGCGCATCACCGCATGCGGGCCTCC